CTCCGGCTCCTGCGCACATCCTCCCGACCCACGAAGCCGCCGCCACCTCCGCTGCCGTCCCAGCCGCTCCGGTCGCACCATGTCTTCGCCTCCCGAGGAGAAGCAAGCGACGAAAGCTGGACACCCGCCCGCTGGTAATGACTCGTTTCCACTTTCCCTCCCGTCGTGGGTCCCGGAGAGCCGGCCCGAACCCGCGGGCGCGGGGCGCTGGGCGGGCGGGCCCGGGCGCCAGGCGCGGGGACTGGTTCACCAGCCTGGGACCTGCTCACTCGTGGCGTCTTCAGTTAAACTGAACCCCGCCTTTGGCAAAACCCATTTCTTGCAAGTTGGGGAAGCATCGCAAGCCTGTGGCCGTTGCATGCAAATGGGAAGGACTTGGATAAGCCCAATTGCACAACTTCCAAAAATAATAATAATAATGGGCGGCGAACGCAGCATGTCCAGATGTTTCGGAAAACCGGGTCGCCGACCCAAAAGTTAATGTTTTTAATGACAAGGTGGTGATGGTCGGTTGACGGAAATCATTTTTACCATCAATCACTCAATATGACTTTGCCCCCCAGTTGCTTTCACATCCAGTCTTTTCTCAAAAGTGGGGTTTTGGGGGGTGTTTTTGGAGTGTTTTCTTGTTTGTTTGTGTTTTCAAATTCTAAACTCTAGGCCAAGGAAGTTAAACCCAGGAAGGACTTGCATAGAAAATGTGAATCCGAGCCGCTCTTATGTTCACGCCGCCTCGCCCCTTTCCTCGCCCCTTTCGGTCCCAGGACAGACAGTTCCTGTTCGCTCCCCGCTGGGTGCAGGCTGCTCGGCTGCTCCGTTTCCGGGTCTGCTCCCCTTTGGAATGACAGCCGATGCCGGTGCAAGGACCCTGGGGGAGAATGGAAGGTGCCTGGGTCCCAGAGGCCAGGCCCCCTCCATGTGTGGGGTTAGGGTTAGGGTCCAAATTGCACACCTTTGTGTTATAAACTCCCTCCACGTGTGGGGTTAGGGTCCAAATTGCACACCGTTGTGTTATAAACTCCGTCTCCTGATGCCAGAAGCCTCGGGGGCCTGGCTGCGTTGTGGGGCACATTAGTGCCACCTTCTTCTTGTAGTAAAGACTCCCTGATCTCCCTCCGTCAGTCTGCCGTCCCCCAGGATAGGGCCCTCGTTCTCTGCGTGAACACGTGACTAGGGCCGCTCTTCCAATAAATACTCCGAGCTGATATTTGCACTGCTGAAAGCAGCTCTCAACAACCACCAAAAACTGCCTGGACTAGGGAAGGAAAACGGCTAACCGATGCCTGCGACTTAACTGGCATGGGGTTTTAGAAAGTAGTCCCGCTGTAGTGGGAAATGGGCTTTGGGGCCTTTGTGTTCCATTCGTTTAAAAAATTAATAAAATAAAAAGTACCTCAAAGAGATTTCCTGTAAAGATAACGTGACCTTTAGTGTCTGCCTCAGTGGGTCCGTGCCCATCTGCTGGCTGCTGATGACCTGGCAGCACTGCCGGCGGGAACGCCTTTCTTTACACTCCCCTGTCCCAGGGTAAGGAGTGGCAGTAAAGCGGGTAAGTTGGGATGAGACCAAATCAAGGTAGTAGTAACTAAGTTGCACATAGAGGCATTTCCACGTGGAGATTTTTAAGATCACAGACGTGAACTGTGCATATTAACTCCCTGGAGAAATTCCATGAAAGACTTTGGTTTTCTTCGAATTCTAAACAGCTAGGCCTTGTGAATTACAAATTAAATAGCTCATTTATGCCAAAGGGGAGAGGAGCCAACTTATTTGTGCTGGTGTAGCCAGTTTTCCTAATCTATGAAATGGGAGGTTTGGGGGTGTCATCATAGAGCAGAGCTACCTTTGCCACGTAACTCTCACTGGAGCTCCCCCCTTCCATTCATCAGAATCCAAGTTCAAGGGCAGTTAATCCCACAGGCAACCTCTTCAAGTGACTTCAGGGAAGATCCTGTAGCCTTTGGGGTCCCAGTCTCACAGGAACTGCTTAAAGAACTGTCACTGACATTCCCCATTTTCCAAGGCCAGTCATATTTGCCCAGAGTTAGAGGCAGAACCTGGCATCTTGGTCCAGCGGTACAGGTTAGAAGGGGATTTTTTGTCATGTGCAGTATTTTGCCTCAGATCCACTTTCCTGTGGGAAAGCTCTTTTTAGCAAAAAGCTGGGGGTATTTGGATATTTTTATTTACTCTGGCGTGGCCAGAGAATAGGACATACTGCAGAGTTGATGTTAAAAACAAACAAACATAAAGGCAACTCACTATAATAAAGATAATTATCAAGTATAGCCAAGAGCACAGTTCATAAATCAAAAATAACAGCCTTGAAAATTTTGGGTACACTTTCATTAAGTGCTTAAATTGGATAACACAGACTTGTGCTTAAATCCTCAATCGGAAACAATAAAATTCTCTTTTATGACTATCTTCATGTTCTTTTGTGTTTTCTCGTTGTTGCTGTCTGAACCGGTATCCAGTGCATTCTCACAAAATTAGCTGTTTCCTTGTCACTTTTACCTCCACCTGTCTGCCTCTCCTTCTTGCTTCCAGGGTTGGGTCTTAGTGATATCTTCATCCACAGGAGCTGGCACAGTGCCTGGTACAAAAATACACAATAAGTAGCTTCTGAGTGAGTTCCTTCAGAGCCTCTTAGCACCTCTCACTTCCCCAGAGCATGCGGGGCCCGCAGTGTTCTCTACCTCTGCGCTGTCTCCAGTGTGCACTAGGGATGCAGGTGTGACTCTCATCCAGTTTAAATAACGTCATAAGTGCAAGTAGTAACAACATTTGCTGAGTGTTAATGTGCCTGGTATAGGGGAGGGTAAATAATTTTCCCTCTACCCTTCTAGGTTCCTGGCCGAGACACCTCTCCCCATCCCCTGTGATAAAGACAGATTAATAAGAGAAAAACAAACCGAAGTTTATTAACAGGAATACCTCCTCTACACATGGGAGAGACCCAAAAAAACTGAGTAATTCCCTGAAATGGCCCAAGCCACCACCATAAATACCAACTTCAACTAAAGACAAAAGAAAAACATTGGGGCCCTAGCCAATTTGGTTCAGTGGATAGAGCGTCAGCTCGTGAACTGAAGGGTCCTGGGTTTGATCCCGGTTAAGGGCACATACCTCAGTTGCAGGCTCAATCCCCCGCCCTGGTCAGGGTGTATGCCGGAGGCAACCAATCGATGTGTCTCTCTCACATCAATGTTTCTCTCTCTGTCTCTCCCTGTCCCTTCCACTCTCTCTTAAAATCAATGGAAAAATATCCTTGGGTGAGAATTAACAACACCAAAAAACAAACAAACAAACAAAAAAAACATTGGGGAGTAGGGAGCCAGTTATGGGGGGTTTCCAGAAAAAGCCAGGTAAACCAGGGTAAGGTTGCTATACAGATTTCAGGTTCTCTTGTGATATAGTCCTGCTTCCCTTTCTAGTACAGAGAGGGAGATACTTACACAGGGAAATTTCCATTACTAATGTAAACGTCCCTTACAAAACGATAGCTTCTCAGTTTTCTGAGGTTTTCCTTCTCTGCTGGTTTTAATCAGCTCAAAACAGCCCTTCTGCCACAGAGGCATATTTCATGGTGGTGCATTCTGCTGGCCTTCATTGGCACTATTTTAAGCCCTTGCCTCTTGTTCACTCATTTTACTGACAGTTACCTTACAGTTGGGATAAAGAGGACAACTCCATTTTAAGAACTGGCCAAACCATTTGGAGTGTCTCCTATCAAAGCTAGTGAGTTCAGGGGGACCAGCCTGTAGGTCCTTTGCCCCTTGGAACCTCAGCAGCCCTTTGCACAAGGTGCTCCATCACACACCCTGTGTCTCTTCCCATCACATGCCCTGTGAGATTGATGAGGCCGTTTGCACAGGCTTCTGCAGTGTGTAGGACAGGGTTGTGCAAATATAGAGTACGTCACTGAAGCGTGGGGATGGTGCTGCTCCACATCCTGGCCTCCTGGCAGTATGCTGTGGAGGTAATCCGGTCTTAATGATTTCAGACCACTCCACTGCTCTTGACTACAGAACATCTGCAGAGAAGTGGTGGGAGACTGCTTGTTCTATGAGAGCTACTGCAAATGCAGACTAGCAGAGTTAGAATTAGTGAGGTTCTGTCTCATCTAATAGTCCAAGGGTGCCTTGGCAGAAGGAGGACATAATTATAAGCCACACGATTACTCATTTCTTCCAATCTTCATGAGTTGGTGGCAGTGATGTGGCTAACATCTCTTTATTAAATACATTTTGCTGGCCCCGGTACTCTCCATTTGCCAGGGGATCCAAAGCCATATGTCAGTACAGTTCTCATAAACCTAATAAGAAATAGTGTTGAACATTATTAGTTCCCATAAGGTTATGAAAAGTAGGCCTCACAGCCCTTCTAGACCTGAGTCAAATGGAAGTAGAAAACAATTGTACTTATTGAAAGTAAAGTGAGAAATAGATCACTTTACTCTTTGTAGTGATTTCAAAATAATTCAATTCTTTGTTATATTAATCAGACAGGAGTTAAAGATGCCTTATGGTTCAGCCTATGAGTGGCATGTGTCACTGTTAGTTTCCTGTGGCTGCAGTAGCAAAGCATGATAAACAGAGGCTTAACAGAACACAACTTTATTATCTTACAGTTCTATAGGTGAAAAGTCCAAATGGTCTCACCAGGCTAAAATCAAGGTGTCTGCAGGGTTGGTCCCTTCTGAAAGCTCAAGGGAAGAGTCTGTTTTCTTACCTCTCCAGCTTCCAGAGGCTGCCCCATGCCTTCGCGTGTGGCCCCTTCCTCCATCTTCAAAGCTGGCAATGGCTGGTCAAGTCTTTCTCAACTACATACTCTGACCCTGATTCTTCTTCCTCCCCCTGCTGCATTTCAGGACCCAGATGATGATAATGGGTTCACCTGGATAATCCAAAATAATCTTATTTTATGGGCAGCTTAAAACCATGAAATAGCAACCTTAATGCCCCTTGCCATGACACCCAATACATTCACAGGGCCCAGGAACGGGAGTATGGACATCTGTAGGGTGGGGACATTATGCTGCCTACCACGGGCTCTTTTCTCCCTGCTTGACCACAACCCAGGCAAATGGCCTCAAACCAACTGCAAGGGAGGCTGGGGTTGGGATGGGTGA